CTCTCTCCCCCCCCCCCCCCCCCCAGCCTCAGAGCTTTGGCAAGTAGCAGTCAGAGACAGAGCTTTTTCAGTGGGAACACCTCACCTGTGGAATACCTATCCCCTTGGGGTTTAACTGGTGCTTAGCCTGTTAATTTTAATGATTTTGTGCTGTTTTATGAGCTACCTTGTGCAGTTCTCTGAAGAAACAGCATATTAATTTTTGAATAAATATATGGAGACTAAGCTGTGGCCCCTATGGTTCAGTTTTCATATTCGTGAGTCTCAGACAAAAAAACCTTCCTAGCCTGTCTTTCTTTTATTCTGGAGGTGCTGGGAATCAGACTTGGAGATTTCACCTGTCAATGAGCAGTAGTTGTTGGAGGGGGGGGGTTTAGGGAGAGGGAGGCAGTTTGAAAGAGGGATTGTCTCATATAGTGTGTACACTGATTCACTTTCATTTCTTACAGGTCTTATATATTTGTGAATTGTTTCTAAAACTTGTTTGACTGGAGGTGACAATGTGGGAATGAAAAGGAGCTGTGTAGAAAGGGAACTGCTGGTTTTGCCATCCCTGTCTTTATCTGTTTCCTTCGCTAGAATGACTTTTGGCCAAGGCTGATAGTTAGTGGATTTGTAAGGTCCATAAAAGGAGGAAAAGATGCATCTCGAAATGAAAATTATTTGCGTATTATGTCTCACTTTTAACGATGGTGGCAGGGAAGAGGGTGGAAGCAAAGTAAGTTCATGACGAGTAAGCTAGTCTCCCCAGCAGACACGATACTGGATGTGGAAATCTGACCCTGTAATTACAACAGACAGACTCATAGGAGGTTGAATCTCCATTGACAGTGACTCTTCGGGGGGGGGGGAGCGCAAATGGCAACTGTTCTTAGCAGGGCCAGTGGAGAAGGCTTTGGTGTCTCTTCATTTCCTTCTAGCAGCTGAATATTGCCTAGGAATTTTTTCAGACTGATAAAGAAGCCTGAAACTTTATTTTCCAATGTTTTTTCTGAAGTCTTTAGGATCTGGAAGGTAGTCCTGACTGCCATGCCGCAGGGTGGTCCTTATTCCATAGTGGTACGTCAGTTCTATGAAGATGAGGTTTCCAGCATTATGCTGCGAGATGTCTACTTTGGAGATGTCTGGCTTTGCAGTGGGCAAAGTAACATGGAGATGACAGTTTCTCAGGTGAGCCGTACTTCCTTAGAGTGCAATGGAGGCAGTGGAATACTTGTTAAACAGTTGGAATACTTGTTCAACTATGTGTGCCATCCCTATGTGGAGTACTTGTTCTACTATGTGTGCCATCCCTATGTGTGCCCTTGTATGTTATTGCAGCACAACTGCAGCTGGTGCGTGAGAGAATTTTTGCACTTAAAAGCTCAGAATCTCTTGCAGCAAAAAGTAAAAGGAGCCTTATGTCATCTTCAAAGACTAATAAGTTTTTATTCCAACATAATATTGGGCTGGAGTCCATTTTATCAGGTGTGTGTCAATATACAGGTAGAGGACCATGCATTTTTAGTGGTGCACAGTACTCTTAATGATGTATTGGAAATTCTCCTGTAACACCTGGTGTCTGAAGTTTTTGTAGACACTGCCGGCATGCTTCTGTATATTCTGTGAATATGGTGGCCCAAAATTCTCACAGGGTTCTCAGCTTTTGGTGGCTGTCACTCCTTTTTTCACTAGACTGCAAAACTATGCCCGCATACGGCACAGTTGTGACAGAGTAAACTGGTAAACCCTGTTCTATAATTTGTACTCTACACCTTAGCCTTTCATCTACATTTACTGGCCTGACAAAATGATAAAATGTCTGTTTCACACTAGAAACAATGCCAGAAGAAATCCTTCTGGAGCAGGGAGATCATCACACACCTAAAATTAGAAAAGCAAGAAAATAACTGTTTCAACCTCTCCAAATGTATTGCTTGGCAGCTGCCAATCTAAAGATGAATAGATCAAAAGAAGGCACATGGCATGTTTATTAGACTTAAGGGCTGAAAAATGCTGGGGAAGAGTGCCTCCTGAATCCCACAGCCCATGCAGATAATTCCAGACGGGTAGCCATGTGGTAGTTACCACTGGGCTTATCAGATCTCAGAGACTCCTACATTTCTTTGCCAGGAATGAAGAGGGAAACTTGGCAGTTGATTTCATTGTCTGGTGAAACAGATTTTGGCAGCTGTTTGGTTCTCCACCTGTAAATCATTGTTCAAGACTTAGCACCAAAGAAGAAAATTCATTTGTTTTCAACTTTTAAAGTTATGGTTTCAGTGGAATCTGCCCTGTTTCCTAGATATTCAATGCCAGCAAGGAGCTCGCACAGGCTTCGCACTTTCCGTATGTGCGTGTGTTCACAGCTTCTCTTGCTCAGTCGGAAGAGGAACTGCTGGACCTTCCCGATATTGATTTGCAGTGGTCTGTGCCCACAGCCGGTAAGAGTCTGCAGAACTTTAAAAAATGAACGCTTTAAAAAAGTCTTTTTGGAGAACTTGGTGGTGTGGTGTCCACAACTCCTGTCGAGTTTGTATCTTAGCTGGAAACTGAGTACCATTATAACAGCATGTGCTGTTTTTACAGCTAGTTTATCTGATGTTCTTTTTCAGGTTTTTCTTGCGAGTTTTAGTTAGCCTCGCCTCTGGTCTGTTCATGCACAGGAAAAATTAGTTGGGACAGGAGATTATATGTGCATGTTTCCTATAGCAGAAAGGCATTGTCAACGCCATCCTAAGATGAGCTGTACCCTTCTAAAATAATAGCCTTCAAGGTACTTACAAGGGTGTCACTCTGCTTAGAATGGTCCTGTAAGTTCCCACTTGCCATTTCTGACCACTTCACATACTGAATCGGTGTTATTTACATGGTATATTACATGGATGGCTCAGGCTAGTCTGATCTCATCAGATCTCAGAAGCTCATCAGGGTTTGCCCTGGTTAGTACTTGGATGGAAGACCACCAAGGAAGACCAGGGTTGCTATGCAGAGGCAGGTAATGGCAAGCTGCCTCTGAACCTCTTCTGCCTTGAAAATCCTTTGGGGGGGGGGTCACACTTTCCACCACCACCAAGTTTCCATGAGATCACAAGCAATAGAAGAGCCCTTGTGTCTTCTAGGACTTTTTGTTTCTAATTTTTTTACATCTTTGGATTTACCCCTCACTTGTGTGTGTGTTTTAAGCACCCAAATATCTGGCAAGGTTGAAGGGAATGAAAGAGCTACCGTCTTGGGAGAGAGATGTTTTTGTTGGCATAGGATGAGTTATAATTTGTTTTGGTCCTACGGTGAAAGCAGGGCTGTTTCCCAGACTTTAAAAAAGCACTGTAGTTGGTTAATCTCATGGGCATTAATTGATGAATCATTTATTAGTTTGCATATGAATAATAACTATTGTTCTGAAGGGTTTTTAGATGCACACATATGTTGTAACAGGAACAGTTTAGAAGATATATTCCCTCCTTTGTGAGAGAGAGGGATGATTTTTATCATTTTTCCATATTGTAAGTAGCATGAAAACCAACATTTTGATTAAATCTAATTGTTTTAAATTAAATGAATGAGTGCCCCCTCTTAACATTTTTCCATACTTTAAGTAGCATGAAAACCAACATTTTTTAAAAAGAATCTATTTACTGATTAAATCTAATTGTTTTAAATTAAATATTGCAGCTTTGGTAAAAAGGGTGCTTTGTGAAAGATTCTGAATGCTCTCTTCTATATCTAGTCATTCTATTTACTGATTTATTTGCTTCATTTATTTACTTTCTCACTGAGACTTATGTTCTATGTACATACATCATAGGATAGTTTCCTTTGGGCAGCACCACAAGCAGTGTTCCCTCTAAGCTGAGTTAGTGTGAGGTAGCTCACAGTTTTTTAGCCTCCAGCTCACACATTTTTGTCTTGGCTCAGGAAGGATGGCTCCAGAGCATACTAATTTATGCAGCAGCCAAACTGCTTGCTCATAACTTTAAAACCAGTAGCTCACAAAGTAGAATTTTTGCTCACAAGACTCCACAGCTTAGAGGGAGCATTGATCCATGTAACCCATTATCCACTTCTAATCAGTAGCTGGTACAAGAGTACTGCTGGAATATTCCATGCCAAATATCTGATCTGTCACCACTTGTGGAGAAAAGCACCTTCTGAGAGAATAGAGTTCTTCCTTAAGAGCATTGTTGACCCAAGTGCTGCCTTTTTTAAACACAACAGATTTAAAGGTCTTTCTAATTCCTGGAGGCTAGCCTGCCTCATATGGTCACAGCATATATGCCAACACCACCCAAAGTGTCCAGCACCTAAAATAAGTTGTTTTAGGACTACACCCCTTCTCTTCTCTTTTGTGTTATGCTAATTACCTTGTCTGGCACTGACTCAGATTTCATTGCATGTTTCACAGTGAAATCCTATGGAGATTTACTCCAGCTTAAATTGACTCATTTCAGTGGATTTAGACTGCAGTTACACTGCATAGGATTACACTGCCAGGCACCAAGGGATTTCCCCCTAATTTATATAAGATCCATCCCAAAGATGGACCCAGATAGGGTCACCTGGTTGGGGAAAAAGGTTTTGTATGCTAAATTGCAGTGGTATAGTTGATCACTTTGCTTGAGTGTGGACAAAGCACAAAGCTGGCATCTAAGTTTGTTGCAGAGTCTGGTTCCTGAGTTTGTGTCTCTATTAGGTGATCCATTGTTGTAGATGAGAAGTTGTTTTATGTTAGGGGACTGCTGTATAGAACGGAAGACATATGTGCGAGAGAGATATGTGGGGTGGCTGTAGGTCACTGTTGACGTTAGATCAGTGACCACCAGCTGCCTAACAAATGTATGTTTCATCCATCTGATGAAAGCTAGTGACTTATGAAAGCTAGTGTTGGAATATTTTTTTTTTTAGTAATTGAGCCACTGGATTTGTGTTCTATTTACATGGAAAGAGATGCTGCCCTTTAGCATAGTATTTCATAGTGAGAAACCTCAATTATCAGATTTGTAAACATGAGAGCAGAAATCCATCCCCCCCCCCCCCCCCCCCCCGTCTCCTCTTGGTTTTTGAATCTTCCTTAACTCTGGCTGCATCTATGTATTGTTGGATATTACAGTATCATTGTGCTATAGCAGTCATTTATGACTGGATGTTTTTCTGTGGATAAGAAAATCCAGTGGCAAACAATTGCTGTGTAGATCAACAGTAGCACAATAATATCCAGCCATTTGTGGCTGCAACCTCTATTTACTAGAAGTCCAATTAAATGTTTTATTAATATTGCTCTGGCAGAATTTGTGGGTTAGCAAACTTGGCAATGGACAAATGTATCAAGGAGATAGATAAGGATTGCAGAGCAGAAACTGAAGTCTAGCAACTTGCTCAAGGGAAAATGGAAGATGGAGTAGTCTGTGGTGTTTAAGCATATCAGAATTACAGAGGTATATATTGTCATTGTGAGCCTGTTTTGCCGATTTTCATTGCTGATGTTCCCAATTCATTTGTTCCTTTTAATGCTATTGTATAACCTCTTTATGCATTTACTATGCTATATGAAAAATGATGCTAGATTGCAGGCATTTATCAAGAAATTTAGCACAAGTAGACAGAAGCTGGTATGACAATAGAGACATGCAGGTTCAGCTTTCACAAGGGAGGAGTGAGAACAAGACAGGGTTTTTACAGTGGGAACAGTGAGTCCGACCAAGCATCCCTCACCAGGATGAGCAAGATTGTGGACCAGGATATGCCCCAGTACTTCACGCAGCTGTACTGTGGCTCCTAGCTGAAAGTGTGGCAGAAGAAACCAGTTGTGTATTTAACGCAGCCATATTCCTTTCCAGACTTTTAAATATTCTTATTGCTTTTTTAAACATTTTTCTGAAAAGAAAACTTGGGCCATGGGGACTTCGGTTACTTCTCTGCTGTGTGCTGGCTGTTTGGACGCTATCTGTATGAGACGCTCCAGTACCCCATAGGGCTGGTAGAGTCCTCCTGGGGAGGGACACCAGTTGAGGCCTGGTCCTCCCGAAGGGCGCTGCGTAAATGTGGACTCTCAGAGGACCATAGAAGGTAAGAAGAGCTGATGACAACAGACCCTGCTCCTTTCTTATAGTCTTATAGTCCTTTTTCGATAGACTGGATCCCTTTCCATTCTCGCTGAGTGCTGTGTGCAGCCCGTTCTCTGGCACTCTCTCTCTGTGGTTGCCTTACACGACCTGCCTCACTGTTTACAGTGGCAGGAAACCTGTAAGCCCGCAGCTGCATTTAGAACCAGGATAACAACTTCCCTGAGCTGCATCTGGTTTAAAATTCTATGCAAGTCTGTTGCAGGAGGAACAAAAATGAGTTTCAGATTTATTGTGGTAGAAGCTTTTGTGGGCTAGAGTCCATTTCATCTGATGCATGAAGTGTCTCCTCAGCAACAAACATATAAAGACTTAATGTTACACCGTGTTCTACGATCCTCAGAGTAATGCTTAGTGCCCAGGCTCTTTTTGGGATTCCAGTGGCCTCAAGACGCACCACACACACACTACTGGTTAGATTTACAAATGAAACCAGTTTATTAAGGAATAGCAAATAATCAAGCAAATCCGATACAAGCATCTGTTAATCTTCAGGTTGATTATTGATTTAATGTATAGCTGATGTAGGGTCTATGCCAAAAACATTTGAGAATCAGTGTAGATGTAGTACAATAATGCATTAGTGAAGTTCAAACTGTACTACTTTGAAGAAGGGTAGACTTCCCTACTTCAGCTTAGAGCAGTGCAAGAAGGAGGGTGGACTGAAATCTCTTGTTAGCTCTCAACCTGGCCCTCATCCCTTTCCCCATGGCATCTTAGTATGGTGGAGATGCACAACGCTGCACATTTTTCAAGTTATTCTCAAAAATAATTATTAAAGAGATAGGTAAACAAATGTAGTTATTAAAGAGGCAGATAATCATAGGCTGCCCACTCAGTTCAGTTTTTAAGAGAGTCACAGTGGGCTTTTCACAGGGTTCACAAACATGGGATAGATGTTCTCCAGTGCCTTTCTCATTAGGTATACTTCACCCTCGCATAACCTGGAGGAGGGAGAGGAGTGTAACTCCTCCTATAAGCTCCATTTGTGCAGTGCTACCATGGCTAACAAGTCCCAAAGTCTGGGCTCTAAACATGGATTGGGAGATTGCTCCGGGCATCACAAGGGTATTTGGGTAATCTTCTGTTCCTAGTGGAAGTAGATGAACCAGGTATTTCTGGTTAGCAATGGGTAAGCCCCTATGCCAAGCTGTGGAGCTTGGCTGGGCATCACAAGGGTATTTGGATAATCTTCTGTTCCTAGTGGAAGTAGTTGAACCAGGTATTTCTGGTTAGCAATGGGCAAGCCCCTATGCCAAGCTGTGGAGCTTGGCAAATAACCATCATGTTGACCCTTGACACTGGCATGATCTCTTCACTCCCAGATTGCAATGGCAGGTTTGTATCACGTTGCAGGAATATATTTCAGTAGCCAGATGCTGGATAAGTCCTCACACTTTCCTTTGTGTATTAGGTGGAGTATTTTACTTTAAATTTTTTTTATATACAGGTGGTAAATGTATATTTATTAGTATGTATGTTGTTCATATGTCAGTCTTTCACCTTATAATCTCTCCCCAAGAACACCCTGTTTTAAGAACAGTGGAAAACTACTCTGGGGGTTGAAAGGAGGAGATGTGTTGGTGATGTCATGGACATTTGCTAACTGATGGCCTCCATAACCAATTTTTGTTAAACAACGCTGCAGTCTTGTGAAACTAGCTTTTCAGAACTTGTCCGTGGAAGATTTATTTTTATTAAATGTGGCGAGACTGGTTTCAAATCACTCCCACTGCTCTATAAATATTACGATCTGTCTTCACTCTTACTAAAGCATATCTCTAGAGGTGCTAGAGACAGTGGAAAAAATTAAATGTGGGTCAGATTTAGGCATATCTGCCAAGTCTTAGAACACCAAAGAAATGCTTGGCTAGCCCTGTGGCATCAGAAGGCAGTAATATAGCTTATGGCATGTAGACCTGCTCTTTGCACTTGTTGGCTCAAGGCAGATCTCCTCTTTTGTATAGCAAACATTAGTACAGTACTCTGTGATTTCTGAGCTCTGGTTTTAGAGAGGGCCCAGGCACCAGTGATTAAGCAGTATAAATAAGTCCCCCACTTAATGGATTTCTCATGTTGTAGCTTCCCTGTCTCTCTGGATTCTGGCCCTAAAGAGTATTCAGTGCTCTGGAATGCAATGATCCACCCTCTTCTCAACATGACCTTCCAAGGCGTTGTTTGGTATCAAGGTACGTAAAGCCAGCGAAAGGACTGAGCTGGTATGGCAGCACCATCACTACTGCATTTGGCCTGTCTCATTCTCTGTGTGCTTCTCCCAGGTGAAGCAAACACTGCAATGAACACCGATCTGTACAACTGCACATTCCCAGCACTCATTGAAGACTGGCGAGAAACTTTCCATGAAGGGTCTGTCGGGCAAACAGAGCGGAGCTTCCCCTTTGGCTTTGTCCAGGTAATGGGCAGGGGCATGAAGGTGTAAACATTGGGATGGCTATTTCGTACTGGCAGACATGAGGGAAGGAATGCAGGAATACAGCATTTTTAAAAACCAAACCAATGGGTTTCAGCCTCTTTCTATATTCGCACTGATTTCCTGCATCTTTAACCTTGGTGAGTGCTTGCACACAACAAAGACTGACTCTTCTCATGCCTGAGGATGGTCAGCAGAATGAGGGATAGGACTGTGTGTCACTTTCCGTACATGACTAATACTAACCAATAAAAGAAGAGATCCCCGTATATTTCCTCAGTATAGTATAAAACCACTTATTCTATGTCCTGATACCTTCCATTTTGTCCCTGTCCTCACTCCTAACTAGCATTATTTGCTGCTGCTAATATGTGATGAGGCTAGTGGGATTCAACATGTGGGTGCCATTTTCACTGGCAGCGTTGAGACCTATGAAACATGTAGTTCCATTCACAATAGCAGCTTCCTAATATATTGGTAGCTTTATGAAGCCAATATTGTTCCTTAACTATACAATGCAAATGATGCAGACGGTGATATTTCTGTCTAGGAAGGCTACATTAATAGTTTGTTGCATTTATAACTTGCACTAATGCAAACATTCCCAGGAGGTCTCCCATCCAAGTGAGGCTTATGCCCGCTCAGCTTCATTGAGGATGCTGTATCATGTGCCTTCCAGCTGTACTCTAGGACCTGTTTGCTAGGTCGTTGGGAAAGCTGTGCCCTCTTGACATTCTGGACTAGGCTTTGACATTTATTGGAAGGCGGACAGTTGTGCAACCTTCTCGGCATCAACACCCTAACATGACCTCTGCCTCCAGGGTCACAGTTGTAACCCCAGAATGGATGTGTGGCATGTCTTTCATGACTTTCACTGAGCCATCCTTTCATGGCAGCAGGAATAATGGGATTATAGCCTAGAAGGATTATGTGATCTCCAACTTCAGGTAGGTTTCAGCTGTTCCTGTTTTGCAGTTATCTACAGATCGTCTAGTAGAGATTGATGACAGCTTTCCACGTATCCGATGGCATCAAACAGCAGACTACGGCTATGTCCCTAATACGAAAATGCCCAATACTTTTATGGCTGTTGCCTTAGACCTCTGTGACGGTTCATCTCCCTATGGCAGGTAAGGAAGCTCCCCTTGTTTTAGGTCGTCCAGGCCCTCCCAAGCAGCTGTAACGGTTCTAGAGCAGCTGCTGTCTATTCCATTAAGGATTGGTGTAAGAGAGAGACAGTCTAATAGCTTATAATACACGTGTGGAAAGATGTACAGAAGAATGGGGACCATCAAAGGGCACCCTGATCCCTTCTAAATATAAGAACCTAATCCGACGGCAGTTTCCAGCTTCATCCCCATCCATTGGCCTCCTTATTGGGGGATAATGGAATGGCAAAGGGAGGAGGAGACAGACATGATCTAGCCCTGGAAGTTGCATCTGGATGACTGCTAGTAGAAAAAAAGCAGGTTTACTCAAGTAGTAAATTCTGGTAGGTTCCAAGCCTCCATGAGAAACATACACACTGTCTGTCTGTCTCTGTGCATGCACACTCACACACTTCTTTGTAGCTGTGAGGACTGGAAATGGAGTGTTTCAAGTGAGAACCAAAATATATGTTTTTTTTCTTGCTTTATAGTATCCACCCCCGTGATAAACAGAGCGTGGCCTATAGATTGCACCTTGGGGCTCTGGCAGTGGCTTATGGTAAAGAGAACGTGACCTTCCAAGGCCCATACCCTGAACAGGTGCTAGTGGATGCAGCCCTTAAGATTCTGAATGTTACCTACAATCAAAATATCCATCTCCACCACATGGACAGCAAGGTATTTGAGGTAAGAGTTAGCAGGGAAGTGCTGTTTATATCCTGTACTTCATGGGAATGGCACACAGTCACACTGGTTGCTATTCAAGGACCTCTGGTCCTGTGAGAAACAGTAAGGCGGATTGTATTCCACACTCACAACCATTCTACAGTTCCCAAGGGATTAGTTTGAGCTAGCTCACAGTTTTTTAGCCTCCAGTTCACACATTTTTGTCTTAGCTCAGGAAGGATGGCTCCAGAGCAAACTAATTTATGCAGTAGCCAAATTGCTCGCTCACAACTTTAATGCCAGTAGCTCACAAAGTAGAATTTTTGCTCACAAGACTCCACAGCTTAGAGGGAGCATTGCTCACAACCATTCTACAGTTCCCAAGGGACTTTGGTGGATGCACTGGCAGCTATATTGGTATAAAGCTGATAAAGTTCATAATGCTGGAAATGGCATGTGTGGATCTGAAGGGCTAGGTACAGATCCCTGGTGAGTCAGAAAGCTTTGGCCTATGGCAAACCTCACAAGGTTGCTGTGACCACATGCTTAGGTTCCACATAAGGGTTCAAACTACAGTCTATAGCATCTCTAGTAGATGTTGGGGGAAGATCTTTCCCAGCCTGAGATCCTGGAGAGCCCTGAGAATACACGTATTGTGATTTTTTACGTGTTTTTAAAATAATAATTGTTTTATTTACATTGCAAGCCCACTGTGCTGCTAAATGAAGTTTGCAAGGTAGAAAGGCAACCAATGTTTTAAATAAATAAATAAAATACACAGATAGACAAGCCAATGGTTGGACTCAATATAGAGCAGTTTTATAGGTCTTTAATATACCCAGGCCTTCATATGTTCCATAACTCCTCCCTGGCATTATTGTCCTACTCTAACTCCTCTCCTCGGCTTCTGTTAGCCCTGCTGGTGAAAAATATAGGTCTGAGAGCAGATTATGGAGGGGAGGAGTGTTGGACTGTGAAAAGGGTTAAGCACTCCCTTCCCACTGTTATTGTTCAATCCAACGGAATTTCCTACACGCCTTTTCAATAAAAACTAAAACATCTAGAGATTCAGTCATAGGCCAGGCACCTGCCAGACATTGAGAAGTTGCCACACTAGTGGAGTGACTTGGCTGTTCCATGTTGTTAATTTCAATGCTCCAGACACCAACCAGGTTTGAGTGAGTGTTCTGTCTCTCTCTCTCTGGCAGGTATGCTGCTCTGACCCAGCTCTGTGTGAGTGGAACACAATAGCTATCAGAACTGCCTCCTTCCGCACAGTTTCTCTACAGAACATAGCTTGCCCTGAAACAGTGACTGGCCTGCGCTATGCATGGACTGAGTGGCCTTGTGACTACAAACAGTGTCCCCTTTACAACTTGCAGTCATTGCCTGCCCCTCCATTCATTTCATTTTCTCACAATAACCCTAGTTGGGTTGTGTCATGAGTGGGAGTGGGTGGTGTCAGACCGATGAGCTCCTGTTTTGTTCCCATCCACCACTATAAATAAATAAATTAACAAAAAGGCTAATCAATCCATGCAGAATCACTAGACCTACAGGTGGTGGCTGCTAAGAATTAGTGCTTGCTATATTACCTGTACCACCTTGTGCCAATCAACAAGACACATTAAAACAAACACTTTAGAGCAGGGGTGTCAAACATGCGGCCCAGCGGGCAGATCAGGTCCCCGGAGAGCTTCCACCAGGCCCGCAGTGGAACTGGCCGTCTCCTGCTTCCAGTTCTTCTGCTGCTGCTGCATCATAGCTTGCTTTGCCAGACTCTCTTAATCACTCAGCCATTTCATGTTTTAACCTGGGTCCTAGACTCAGAACTCTGAGCATGAGATTTCTGTGATGAATGTCAATAAATCAAAAGTAGGTTTGCAGCTTACAGAGCTAATGTTTTAAGCATGTTTTTATTTTAAGTAAAAAAAACCCTTTGTGTTTGTGTCCTTTATAAAGTTTATATCTCCGCTACCTGGCATTACAATTTATGACACACATGGCCCGGCCCAACAAGGTCTCATTTATGTCAGATCCAGCCCTCATAACAAATGAGTTCGACATCCCTGCTTTAGAGAAACTACACCAGAGATCAGGCATGCCTTGTGCCAGCCCATCGCATGCACCCCCGCACTGTACTTACAAAAGGCATACTAGAAATAGCAAAAAGAAATTGGACACTTATAATTATTGGGTCATCATGATGCTTGAACCTAGCTGGCTGGCTGCCTTCTCCCATGCCTGCTTTTATCTGTGAGCAGGTACAACATCATAATGAAAGAAGACTACCCTGCTAAAATTCTTTCTCTTCAATGTGAAAGGAGTAGGCCTAATTTTAATAAAGCCTGCATGCCAAGTGAGCTAGGATCTGCTGGTACTCCCATGGCACACACTGTAAGAAGAAATTATTGGCACACTTGTGGAGCAAGGCCTTTCATGTGGTGCCCCCAGACTATGGAACTCCTGTCTCAAAATGTTCACCCCTTTGCTTTTGGAGTTCTGATCCAAGTCACCTTTGTTTGGGAGGACATTTGATGGTTTTTTATCTTTTGACCTGTTTAATCCATTCTAGGGGGTTTGTTGGTATCACTTCTATGATTTTTATTGACTGATTTTTAAAAAATCTTATTGGCTGATGTTTTATGGACTGCTTTTATTACTGTTTTTACAGAATAGCTAAAAATAGCCAGGCTGATCCTGCATTGAGCAGGGGGTTGGACTAGATGGCCTGTGAAATAAACTGTGAAATAGAACATCTTTTATTCTTTTGTACTTCAAGCTGCTTTTTAAAATAAAGTTGGGATACAAAATTTTCAAAAAATCTAGTCTAATATAATTCCTTTGACTGTGTTAGCTCTTTAGGCAATCCTTGTGTTTTCAGTTGTAGTTTTTGGTCCATATACATAGGTGATAAAAAGGACTGCAATAAATTGATCCCCCTTAAAACAAGAAATGGCCCTGGCTTATTGGAAAAAAGCACACCTCTATTCTGGTCCCTCCACCAGGGAACTCAGGGCAAAATACATGGTATATATTATTCTGTTATGTCTTCACGACAACACTGTGAGGTAGCATTCTGCTGAGAAACTGGTCCAAAGTCTCCTAGTGAGCTTCATGTCTGACTGCCAAACAACAAAAGTCACATTAATACCTTTTATCAAAATGACTCCGAACAATTTACCTTTCCCTCTGCAGTTACTACCCTCCCCAGTATTATCATTTCATAATCGCTGGACTGGAGGGGGGGGGGGATTCTGCAGAAAACTTCTGCTGCTGGAAAATTTTACTGAATCCAACCCATACTGTTCTGTGTCATTTTGGTTGGTTTTAATAAAAGGTATTGTGCAGTGTTTAATTTTGGATTTTGCTTTCGATCACCACAGCTACCTGCAACCTCTCCACGCCTAAGTCTTTTAAGAACATTAAATGCTGAGAACAACTTGGTTCCACTTGGACTAAGTTCTATTTTAAAAGCCCAATTTGTGTCACTGTGTTGTCTGCTTTACAAAGACAAGTGCATTGCTTTGTAGCTGGCGCCACCAAAATCCTGACCTGGAGCTGAGACAGTTTCTCCAGCAGTGGACCTTGGTTGCCCTGGCTCCGCCACCCAAGTGGAAGTGATTGCGCGTCTGTTTTAGAGGAGCGACAAGCCAGCCTTTTGCACTCAGCTGTGATTGTTCCTGTCATGCTAACCAGAGCAGAAAGGAGGAACAGCTTGCTCCTGTTGCTAAGTTCACTGGATTTTAGTGAATGCACAGGAGGCAAGATGAGTAAGGTGTTAAGAGGCTTTTCAGGACCAGAGCTACAGTTTAAGGATGATGTGGTTTCCTTTCTGCAGTCTGCTCCTGAGGTCATATTTAGCCTTTAAAAATGAAAAACCTTTCTTCAGGGGGCTGTAAAGGCTATATTAAGTGAAGGAAATCTGATATTTTGAGTATCGTAGCCTTCAATTGATCATGAAACTGATCATTAATAGCTTCAGAAAAGATGTGAAGGCCCAGGTAAATTATTATTAATTTTTTCCCAATTGAAAAACTGAATTCTGGGTTGGGGAAAAATTGCTATACAGCATTTCATTCATTCCAGATATTTACTCACTGAAATGCTTTCTCAGAACTGTTCAGTATGTCTTGTGTGACTCCTCTATTCTGTGGGCAGATAACCTATCCTTGAACATAGGCTTCTAGTTTTACAGAAAACTAATTTTGTCCATAATTAATAACGTAGCATGAGTATAATAATGCACTACTGAAGAAGTTGGTAGCTTTAGTAATTTAACTCAATATCAAAATCTGCTTGTAGTACAAAGACTGTTTCTAAGACTTAATAAAAAGAACAAAGTTTGAGTCCAGTGGCATCTTTAAAACTAACAAAGTTTAATTCTGGGTATAAGCTTTCGTGATGCACATGAAAGCTTATACCCAGAATTAAAATTTGTTGGTCTTAAAGGTGCCACTGGACTCAAACTTTGTTCTGTTGCCTCAGACCAACACAACTAACTACCTGAATCCAAGACCCACTAAATAAACCATGTTTTGTTTTCTAAAACGCTTCATGGTTTTTCTTTTTTCATTGCTTTTTGTTTTCTAAAATGCTTCATGGTTTTTCTTTTTTCATTGCTTTTCAAATGTCAGAAATAAATATAGGTAGTACAGGGTACAGTAGTTCACAGCTCTCATGCTCTTCAGTGATGGATATATGTGAAATTGTGTTTGAGGGCATTTATACTTCTTAAATTCAAAATGTGCCAGATAGTGACTCATCTGCAGCCAAAGGCTGGTCAAAGACAGAGAGTGAAAAACCAAAGGTGCTGTCAAAAGAGGGGCTTCAGAAAAAAAACGAACCTGTGTTTTATCTGCTTTGTCATTTAAATTGGATTTTAGCTTTTTAAAAACTTGTTGGTTCCATTAAATGTCCCTTACAACTGCATTCAATGTAGAGTTCATTTTAAAATAAACATGTTAATCTACACATTCTCTTTTTCAAAACTGTCCTTCTGAAAGACTATTCCACCCAGAAAATACCATCCTGTGCTTCCAAAAAGTACGGGGTACTTAGCCTTTTCATAACTTCTCTTGCTTGGTGTCCTTATAAGTACAGAGAGAGCACAAGGCAGAAATCCTTAATTTCCTAATTGCTCCCCTGTCTTAAGCAAATATAAATTCTGTATTGTGAAAAGGCAGCTGTGCTGTATGCCCAGAGATTTTGGAATAGTATAAAAGCTCTAATTAAAGAAAAAATGTTTTCATTCTTAAAAGCAGCCAGTTGGATTGCTTGATTGGAAAACATATGTATTAGAAACTTGGCTCAAATTGTGGATTTAAATCTTATCCATCCTTTCTGAAATTCTGCACAGCTGAGAACTCACAATGTGGATTTAAGGTCACTTCACATACAAAGTATAAAAAGGTCAGTACAGAAAATCCAAGTGATTGGCGTGAAGGTAGCTCAGCATTACCTACACCATCCTCTCATACAAACAAGTGAGCGGAGAAACAAAACACCCTTAAAAACCACAGTAAGAGCTGCTCTGCAAGTTGCGTGAGTTTGCATAATTTATTTCAGTTGTGTAAGTTAAGAGCTGTTGTCTATAAATAATTTCTTCAAGAATTGCCAGTTGAGAGTTTCTGGGTAGCCAAACTTGATGATCTCCCCCTTGATATTAAAGGAATAAAATGATCTTTTGAGACGTTTAAAACAATGTCTTGCATGTTGTTAAAAGCTATTAGCAAAAAGTTTATAAAAAACATTTTTGGATGTATTCAACAGTAAGTCTTGATGTATAAACCAGCTGCAGAGTAGAGCTCAGGGTAGAACATAAATGAAGCTGCTGTAGAATTGGTCCATTTAGCTCAGTATTGTTTACTCTGCCTGGCAGCAGCACTCCAGAGTCTTGGGCAGAGAAAGGCTTTCCCTAACACCTATTACCTGAGATCCTTTATTTGGAGATGCCAGAATTTGAACCCAGGACTGCCTTATGCACAGGAGGT